GCCCAGTCGGGCACAAGAGCATTAGCGAGGTCCAGCACTGATGTTGGGTGATCCCAGTTCACCCAAAGGTGTTGGGTGGGATTGAGAAATGAGAACACATGCGAAAACCACACCAAACTGAGAAAACCATCTTTAAAGCTAACTTTATGGAGCTGGCCTTGTGCATGGGGGCACTGTCCTGTTAAAACAAGAAAGGGACAAAAGACAAACTACTGACACAAAGTTGGAAGCACACTATTGTCTCATATATTACTGTATGCTGTAGCAGTATGAGTTCCCTTAATTGGACAAGGGGCCAAGACCAAACTTTGAAAAATAGTCCTAGACTAGAGTTTAGATGGTGTGAATGAAACATGGCTGAAGATCTGGACATACACACGTAAAATCACTGAAATAGAAGGGACAATAAAGCTCTTTAAGCTGAACAGCAGAGAGACTGACACACTGTGGAGCTTCTCCACAGACAGGAGGCGAGGCTGGGGAAAATCACATCCAGCGCTCGAAATTAAGGAAGGCCCGTTGTCCCAGGGACAATAAAGATAGCACATGGGACACAACGATACAGTGTCTGGGAGAATTCTGGGACAGTAGAGAAATATATCATTACAAATGAAATTATTACATTTATGCATTATGGAATATATATCATTTTAAGGTGTTCAAATTCAAACACTTATTCACAAAATCAATCATAGAGAGAGAAAGTGTTGCCAACTTTCTCGGTAGATTTAGCAACTTTTCAGACCCTCTTAGCAACTTTATTTCTGCAATAAGTTACTGTATTCAGGACCTTAGGGAAATGGTGAACAATATATCATATATATTATCATTGTAGATTTTCCATGCACTCTGCACGGCTCTTCTGCCAACAGCGCTGGGGTCTCTCCCTCTCCTCTTGTGCCGTGCACAGGCTTTCAGTAGGTGTGGATCGTAGGGTATGTTTAAGCTTCTTTCACTCTAATCTCTTCGGATTAGGGAGTATCTATAGTTTGTAAATATTTAAATTGCTTGTTTGACCTTCTCTCACTCTCTCTTTCAGGATCTCTGGATTTGGGTGAGCTTGAATCTTATATTTAAATAGTTTGTTTGAGCCCCCCCCCCACTTGTAGATTTACAAAGATAACTTGTTTATTATAAATACATGATGTTCCTGTATTGAATTGTGTTGATTTGGATAAATAATATTAATGTTCAAACTAACCAATGATTAAATTTAATTAAGATATAAGTGCAGGGAAGAACTAGCAGAACTTCCATGGTGACCTAAGTGAATCAATGAAGTGATGCAAGTTATTGAGGTATTTATTATATTAACTATTTTCTAGTGATGCCTGATAATTATTGGGACAGATACATTATTGGCCAATAATTTAAATTAAATTAAATATTTAAATTTATAGTATTTAAAATTATCCTGACAATAAAATTAGAGCTGATTAATGATTGGTCCATAATAATACTAATTTATTTTGAATTCTTGCGCAAAACTATTGATAGGCTTTATGCTGGCAAGTTTTAAATAAAACACTGTAAAAGAGTCTAAAAACAACAACAGAATGTTACAAGAACAATATAAATCACCTGCTTTTGTGAAGTGAGCAGTGTGAGTGAGACAGGGTGTATCCTGAGCTTTGCCTCATGCTCTACATCTCCTCAGGCCAGAGCTACACAGGTGTGACCTCCTGTGCTAAATCACACGCCAGGAGGAAGCATGAACCTGCAAAAAGCCCTGAAGGAAGCTCCGCTACCATGGAGCAGAAACGATCCCGAGCAGCATTAAGTACACACTCGCTGTACGGAGGTGCTAAATGCACGATGCGCACGTACCTGTTCATCAGCACGCATGTGGTGTGACTGGGCTGGCTCCCTTTCATCTGGCAGGCTTTCTCCACATCCTGGAAGTACCTCTCTGCCGTTTTAATGTCTCCGATCTGGCCAAGAACAAAACAGCGGCAACACATTAACCACTGATCTGTGTGTGTGTATTGTAAAATGGGGCAAGCACAATTAAATTAGATCAGATTTCATGATCTCCCCCAGGCAGAACTGACTCATTGCATCAGCAAAGAATACATACAGGAACATTACGAGAGAGAGAAGAGAGAGAATAATGAGGACAAAACAAATATATCTCTGATGATAGTGCAACACAATGGAGTTGTGGAGTGGGAGGAGCATCCAGGTTTCCAGAAGTAAAAGTCCTCTTCATTTTCTGAATAGACAATACTCAGTGACTGGCTGTTTTTCTGATACGCATGTGTGAATCACAGCTGGATTAGTGAATGAGCCTGCAGGGTACAGGCCCAGTGTTCTCAACATTCCTACCAACATGTCTAATTGGAAGTCGAAAGTACTGATGTCTCAATCCTGATTCTGATCATGGTCTGATCCTGAGTCTTTTAAAGCAGTAGTTCAACATTTTCTAATCTGTTTCTTTCAAGTTAAATGAAAAAGATGGATATGAATCTCATGCGGATTAAGAACAGAGCTGGAGTCAGGACGTGGTTAGCCTAGCTTAGCAAAACGACTAAAAGTATGTGGGGAATAGCTGGCCTTTAGGGGGAGTAATGTGCTGTGACTATTTCTTTGCAAACAACAGCTAGATGCAGTGCCTTCCCATAGTCTTAGCACGTGAGGTTGCCAGGCAACCTCTGCATAGAAGTCCTGGTTGGGTAGACAAACTGTTGTTTGGAATGCATAACTAACATTTCTTTTTATGTACAGATGAAACAAACAAGATACAATGTGTTAATTAGTTAGCTTTAGAGAAGCTGCTAGATGTAGTTTTGAACAAGCTCTGCTTCCATTGTTTATGTCAGGGGTTCTTAAACTTGGTACTCATTATTGGAGGTCAGGGGTCCGGAACGACTGGTGATAACAAAATAACATTTAATCACATACATTTATAACAAACTACATTAACACTAGTTGCAGAAATTGTGTACTAAAGAAAACGAGATACATCCTGTATCTGCGATTAAGGAGCCGATAGCAAATTCTCTAGCAGTCGCTATGACAGCAATGTCAACGATAGGGAAATAAGTCACATTAACATTCATTTGGGAACAGGATCGCTGTGAATTAAGGCTGGATCTGAGTATTCAACGATTCAGATATTTGTTGGGTTTCCAATAACATCAACTCTGATCTTATATGATGACGATGTGACGATATTCAATATCATAAAATGTCAGAGATTTTGCCATACTGTTTCTACTGTAGTATCTAACCCTTTAAAATCTTTGTTAGTATTAGACCATTGTAGGCAATGTTGCAAACCATTGAGCAGGACTGTTTGATGGCAATACTGGGATTTTAAACGATTTCGGCATCAATTTGATGAAGTACCTTGATATGTCAGGTATTTGATTTGCTGGATTAGCCAAAAGCAGAAACTGTCTGGTTACTGGGGGATGGGTGGGGGAGGCTCAGTTTGTGCCTCGGGAATCAGTGACTCTTAATAATCTATGTGCGTGCGTGTGTGTGTATGTGTGTTCATGTGCGGACCTGCAAGAAGATGCGCCCTATGCCGCTGAGCAGCTGCACTCTCTGCTGGGGTTCATACTGGATGATGGAGTGATAGGTCTCCACAGCCAGAATGTAGTCCTGAGAAAGAGAGAGAAACAGAGAGAGATATTAATGTGAAAAAGAGGGAAAGAAAAACACGAAAGTGAAGAATCGAAATAAAAGCAGAAGTTAGAAGCAAGTAAGGTTAAATGAGGTAAACAGTCGGAGGTAGAGACAGGTGGAGGGTGAGCGAGGTAAAGAAGAGCAGAGTTGAGGAGTGGAGAGAGAGAGGGCATTAATCAAACATATGGAGTATTAGCGGGGCGATGTGACCCTCCTCCCACCTCCACACTGCACATCGCTCACACGGTGACTGGACTGCTGAGCGGGCCGACTGAGAGAGGTCAGCGAGGCGCGCGTGTGTGTAGAGAGAAAGTGTGTGTACTGGGCTAGGACAAGGTACAGAGAGTGTTGCACTGTACATGTGTATTACAGTACAGTATTTTTTGTTCAGTTTTTTTACTTAACGATTAGTCTGGTTCAGTTTTTTCAGTTTTCAGAGTTTAAAAAAAAAATCTTTCTACAGCATGCAAAACAAAATAATAAACGGTGTATCTTCTTCCTCTGTCATAGAGTCCATTGTTGTCCAAAAACTATTAAAAAAACATCAGTGAGCCACACTGTTGCACTGGTTCCTTCATTACTATGAATACACACTAGTTTATTTTGACTCAGTCCCGCACACACTGTACTGGAGCACCAAATGTGGATAAATCTGCTGCTGTTAAAACTATGTTTTTTTTTTAAGATTTCGGTGTGAACTTGGGGCTGAGAGCCACAGACAAGGTAGGAGTGAGAAAGTAGTTACAGATGAGCTAACATGATGGTTTCTGTCTTAATTGTCAATAAACAGGGTTTATTGACAATAAAAAAGAAAAAATCTAGAGCAACACCAGCTTTATCCTTAAGATATTATTGTTGAACATTTTTCAATGCACGCAGTAGTCTTTGTCTCCCTAATAAAGCTTCTCCATTAATTTCCACACAGTGTAAAAATAAATTAGCAGTGTTCCATCACACTGAACATCACATGTACCTTATTATAACACTGTTTAACCGCATAAGGATATGATAAGTGCACACAGCGTTTCCTCACATAGATAATGATACAATAAACGTAACATTCACTTGTCATACCATACAGTGATGAGCAGAACTAGTGGCTACATGAAAAGGTATTAAGAAAATAAATAAAAATTTAAAACATTCAAGCTTAAGGTTTGCTTAAGAGTCAGCAGTAATGTGAAGTATTTATGATTTTTACAACATATAGAATGGTCCTTTGACCAATGAGAGTTTGGCATATTGAAACTGAAATTGATCCAAAGAAATGGAAAAAATACTGTAACCTCAATTCTCAGCAGTAGAGGGCACTGTGGTTCTCTCTAGAGTCTGATCTGAGCTACACCTTCAACCTCTCTCTCTCCTCATTCCGCGCCTCTTCTCGTTCTCTCCTCACGACAAGAATCCATTAGTGTCATCTGGGGATTCACGTGAACCTCAACCAGCCTGGCATCAGAGATCTCTGAGTCACACACACACACACACACACACACACACACACACACCACACACACACACACCACACCACCCAACCACACACACACACACACCACACACACACACACACACACTCCTGCGGACTCAGACACGCATACAGGGACACATTCACTCCAACACACTGTGACACACACACATACCTTCATCAGCAGCAAACAGTTGGCCATAGAGTACATGACCCGGCTGAGGCGAGACCTCCAAAGCTTAAGAGACACTAAAAACAGGGAGAGAAGAAGACAGACATGGGGTTTATTTCTTAAAGGGTTGCTTCCTATTTTCATTCCACCTGCTTTTTTTGGGCGTCCCTCTAACGTCACCCTTTTCCCCCACTCTTCTACCCCCTCAGACACACACACAACAAGGTTTATTTTAAGACGATGAGGTGGTGAGGAAGACACTGCGGCACACTCCGCTTTCCTCTTTTCCCTCAGACAGTGCGCCCTGTGGAAGAGCTTGTGTGCAGGCCTATTAGTATTCATCGCTGCACACGTGTGTGTCTATGCGTGTGTGTTGAGGAGAAGAGCTAATCACTCAGCAGGGGTCTGATGTGTGAAGGCAAGGCCCTGCGTTATTGACTTGACTGTCGACTGTCTGCGTGGGCAGAGAGAGGAGAGACAGAGGGCACGGCTATTACGCTGCTTTTTAGAAAGGGGAGAAACCGGCAGAGCTGCTGCACCCTCACACACATTCTCATGCACACGTCACCCTGCCAATTCTCCCAATTATAAGCAAGTGTCTTGCTACATTTAGCTCAACTTCACCAAGTGGCTTGTTGTTGTTCATCGCCCTGAATTTGCTGATTAAATGGCTTGTAGTTGCGTTTAAAAAAAAAACCCCAAAAACCCAAAGAATCTGACACAAAGCCTTTGGAAAAGTTGCTAAATTAGGAGTCACAGGACTTGTGAACAAACTCAAACTCAAAGAATGCTGTGTTAAAATATATTTTGTGTGAGAAAGGCTGAAAGAAGAGAAGAAGTCTATTTCTATCGGGTTGTGTGGAGGTGTGTCTACCTAAAACTGGTGAATTTCAGATGAAGGTGCCTGCCTATTTCCCCAGCACACTTGTGCAGATGTGAGTGGATTGGATAGGATTGATCTGTATTGATCTGCTTGGCGTGAAGGGCTGGAAAGA